TATCTAAGAAATCCGAGCATTTGTATAAAAATAGATTTCTATTTTAATCTGATAAAAAAATATATGATTTCTAATCGAAATTTATAAATTAAATCAAAAAGAGGGGGGAAAGCGAAGAGGGATTTGTGTATGAACATAGCAGGGAAGATCGGGAGACTTGGTGGGGGGAGGGGGGGGGAGCGAAAAGGGATTTTTGTATAAATGTAGCATGGAAAGCGAAGAGGGATTTCTACTTTCAGGCATTTACCCTACATAAGTTGAGGGACTAGTAATAAATTGTCTTAAATGTCGACCCCCCAATTCCTCAAAACTTAAACAATCTCCCTACCCATCTTTCATAAAAAGAACAAACACATGATTTTAAAGTGCCTAGGTGATTAGCTGGCTCCCCAATCTAGGTCGGGGTAAGTCCAGATTTGCACTTAATTTGATAGGTTCGGGTCACTACTTTGTAATACCCAATTTAGATTTAGGTTCTAAGATAGATTTAAAATTCTATGTCCTCATCTTCCAGGAATCTAATCCAAAATTTTTAATAAAATGTCAATATAAACATAAAAATTATCTCTTAAAATGTAAAACCCAACATAGGATAGACTGGGGTCACCTCTGAGTCTCTCAGAATCCGGCACCTCCAACTTTTCCTCCCTTGACCAGCTAAGAAATGTTCAATGTTGAGATTTCATGTTCATCTTCTGAGATGATATATTATTTTTTGAATTGTATTTAATCATGGAAATATCATTTTCTAAAATCCTATTTGATATTAAATTCATTGTAGATTATTGTGTCAATATTCCGAGATAGTACTTTATTCTCAATGCAATATTCAATTTAAAAAATATGAGAAATACAAATCTGCGTGGCAATGCATAATTTTCCCCCATAGTCGTCGCTCATAAGGAATTGATGTATTTGCTTGATACTGAATTGTTGCTGACTATGCAAATACCCTAGCATTTATTACATGTCAGTTGCCATTGTTTGGAGTTGCATGCTTTTATTACAACTTTTTTATTTTTCTTATATATAGTACTTCTTGTGTGGATCTATATCCATAGGGAATTTAGTATAATTGCAACACATTTATCATCATTGTTTGTATATGGACTGTATTAGCCATCTAGTTTATAGAGGATTTATGTGTCTGCTTGACACTGAATTGCTGCCGGCTGTGTGAGTGCCTTGGCATTTATGACATATTGTTCATCATTACTTATAGGTGGGCTACTATGTGAGTGGGGAATCTCCTATAATGGCTTGCAAGAGCTTATATGCATTGCCAATGTATTATTCTTGCTTGTAAATTATATGTTGTATGCATTATGAGCCTTCTGATGTCATATGCAAGAAAGTCACAGGGAATGTAGATCTTTTAGTACTACTTATAAGCAGTTGCATTTGCTATAATTCTTCCATACTCACTCGTAGGTAGCATGCGGTGTACATGACAAACTTCTTGCAATTACTGGTAGGTTCTCATATTTATCGTGGATTCTCGATTCTTGCTTGTATACAATGTGTGCCTTCGTGTTCAAAGGGTATCCGTCATATTCGCGGCACATCCACTGTTGTTATCCACAAATAGATCATATCAACTGTCATCACTCACAGAGAATGGTCATATTTGTCTACAAATGAGTTGACATTGATTGTAGGGATGTCGCAACATTCACCGCATGCTCTTCATGCTACACCCATGAATTGCCACTATCATGCCTCTTGCACAAGCATGAGCATTACACATTAATCGACCAGCATTCATAGATGATTATTTGTCTCTTTGCAGTGACGTTAGTTACATGCAAGTTGCATTCGCTTCAAAGCTTTCAAACACCTTTTAGTTGGCAAGTCATTACATGATCGATCATTGCTGCTTGTTGATGTTTGTGCAAAGCACTATTATTTGCATGCGAGTTAGTGTATTCCTCTGCAAGTTAACATTGACTGTCAGATGTGCTATGTTCATCTCTCATTTCCCTATATGTATTGGTTGGAAAATTGCCATCTTCATTGCATATCAACATTCAGTGTTCATAGGAATTGGTATACTAGCTCGCATGTTGCTTAGCGCCAATTATAGTAATACCACTACATTCGTTGTGCACTCTTTACGCTTTGCTTGTAAGCATATCATTACATGTTCTTCTGCTGCCCTTCATATGCAATGCGTTGTTTGCATGACAGATTCTTTATCCTTGAAGACGATCTGTAATATGCAAAACGAGCCCACCACCATTTATTTGCTTATAATTTGCATTCCAATTGACATGATAACTTTCAATATTTATTAGAAAATTCAAATTATTGGTTGTACGCACATCGTATGTTTTGACTTTTACTTGCAAGCCAATCATTCTTGAATTTTGTTTTAACCCACTATATTTTCCCCCCAGTCAACCCTCCAATCACGCTCGAGAAAAACGTGCATGGGTGATTTTCCGGTGCGCTGCAAGAGCCGAAAATGGGGTTTGAGCATATTTGAGTTCGAAGACAGTTATACATGAACGATGAGTGAAACGATGACTCTGGTGTCGATGTTAATGGTGACGAATATCACAAAACAAAATCTCACTCTCCTTTTCTTTATAAATATCCCCCCTCTTTTTTTTATCCTTCCTGATTTTTTTCTTTTTTTTAACACTCTTTTTTTAAAAAACTAATAATAGTAATATTAAAATTTAGTAATAATAATACTAATACTTATTAATAATATTAATTAATAATGATATTAATAGTATTAAGATAGAGAGGGAGTATGTAGAATGAAGTTAAGTGTGGGGGTTATGTAGTTGAGCTGTGGCTAGGTTGAAGTTAGTAGTGGGGTAGAGACAGGTAGAATAGATAGTGGGATCGATTACAGGCGCTGTATTGGAGTTGGAGAGGTGTTAAGGGGCTGCGGCTGTGTAGAGTTTTGGTCGGATCAGGATTGAGAGCTGCGGCTCAATTGATGGAGGAGATCGGTTGATTGGGAAGCCTGACACAGTGAGGAAGCTGATTGGAAGGGTGCAAGAGGTCTGCGACTTGTAAGGAACGAACAAGGGGCAGCCGGCTCTAGTGTGAGATAGGAGCTGGATCAACAGTAGAGGTTTGGCCGACTTGCAGACGTGTGGGTCTTCAGAGGCTATCTGCGACTTCCGTTTGGATGAGGGAGTCAGGAATGGTTCGAACAAGGAGGAAGATTAACGTGTTTGATGTCGGAGGCTGTAGGTGGATCGTGCCGTTTGCGTGGAAGGGTTTGAATAAGCAAGAGGTCGACTGGGCTTCGATCGGAGGGTTAGGGGCGGCTTCGACTGTTTGTGAGGTCGGGTGATGGAGTTTTGGAGTTCGAAGTTGTCTAGAGGACTCGAACGGAGAGCAGGTTGTGGTTGGAGCTGAATTCAGCTGGAGGCTCTTATGTGTCGAAGAATAAGAAGAGAGTCGGGGTCTTCGGCTAGGAAGCCCTTCGGCTGTGAGGGAAACGCAAAGAGCGTGAGGAAGATCCAAGAGAAATGAGCATATAAGAAGGAAATAAGTGGGATTTGCTCGTGCTCTGTTCGAAACAATGCTGAATGACCAAGGCATGGGCAATGTAGTAGGCGGCGAGATTTGAGCGGGTATTGATTTTTTTTAATTTGCTTTAGAGGTCAACATGGAGCTGAACCAAATGAACTAAAATGGGTTAATTTGAGCTTAATTTGAGATCAAATTGGATCGGTCAGACTCAATTGAGTCAATCTGGTTTAACTGGACGTCTGGACCTAATGGGACTCAATTTGTCTTGATTTGAGTTGAATTAACATGAAAATTGAGTCAACATAGATAAGAATTTTTAGCATGTGTTTTCTCAAAAGTGCTCAAATTATAAAAATAAAAAAATAAAAAAAAAAAACTTTACTCTCCCAAGTTTATTAGATGTCAAGCTAGATTAACAAACTCTCCCGATGACTTTGGCATTCTTGAGTGTGAGCTTGATACTCTCCATTTGGATTGATATTACTCTCTCAACTTACATAGTTTTGATTCAATGGGTTTTTTTAAGGAAATTCTATGTAATTTTTCTTTTATGTAACCTTTTAATTATCTGTTACTAATATTTCATCATTATTCAGGGTGGGGGTGGGGAAACCTACCCACTGAACTGATCAAAAACATGATGTCCTAATATGACATCGAATATAAAACTATGATAGAATCCATTGATACATCATATTCATTGTAAACAAAATTCATCGACTTACTAGAAGACAAGATAAAAAACCCACAATTCAATTTAAATAACTGCTTTGTAACAGAGTGGACATTATGATAGGAAATACTTGATTTCAAGTAGTTCATAGCCAAAACTGAAGCAGAACAAGGAGAAAACTGCTGTCTCCAACAGTGGACAGCAAATATGCGCAGGAAAACAGTGAAAATTGTCTCACAACGCAAGCAAATGCTTGTATTTTACTAGTAGACGAAACAAATAGCAAAGATACAATTTGTTCTTCAATTCGAGAGGAAGAACGTACTCTCCAAAGTCTCCGGCGAAGCCAAGAGCCCAAAGCAACCCTAGATCTCAAAGAGAAAACTCAAATTCAAGAGAAGATCCAAATTCCCACCCAAACTCCTAATTATACAAAATTAATCATAAAGGACAATAATAAACTTCCTAAAACAGCCCTCGCATTCAAAATTTCCCTCCTAACCCTCCCCCCAAGAGCCCACGTGGACCTCACGTATCCGCCCGCCCTTGTTTTCTCCGCCTGGAGTAACAGTGGACCGGTCCGGGTTGGACCGGTCCAGCCGACCCCTCCTGGGCCGGCGTAACACATTGTTTCCTAAGCAGGCCTATGAAGTGCAATTTAAAAAGCATTTTTACAATCAAAGTAAAATTTCAATGGCAACTTCTACCGGAAAATAAAGCAGGTCAGTTGTCTTTAGTTTTCCTCTGATTCTAAAAGGTAACAATGTACAAGAATACCATGCATTGAATGCATAAAACTTAAAGATGCGGAACCAATGATTTTGGTACTGACCTGATAATACTCATTGTCAGATATATCTATATTGAGACATGATTGAGCAGCTTGTTTTACTTTCTTCTTCCTTAGCTTTGCATTAGGTTCTCTTGCTTGGTAAAGGCTAATAACTACATTTCTGCAAGAAGAATTTGATGGTCAGTACATCAGCGGATGAACTTACTTCTGTGAAAAACTTCCTATAACAATAATCAAACTCGTTAAACCTTAAGGGATCAAGTGCTGGATCCCCAGCAGTCTTTAAAACATATACACCATGTACACGCACAGCAACCTGCTCTATGACTGAACGGAGGTCTTTCTCAGGGGCAGAAACAGCAAGTGCTGCAGCATTAACTAGTAATCTAGTTTTGACATCATTTTTAAGGGGTGACCAGCACGCAATTCCCTGTAATCCACTAACAATTGATTGAAAGCTGCAACATGCACATTAAAAAAACATGTTATTTGCAGAAAGATTTAACTAAAATAGACAATTAAATAGAAATTGCAGATACCTAATATAGTCCGTAACAGCATGACTTCAAAATAAGTGAAGGAGCACACGACATATATTTATTAGAATGATGATTAGCAAACAGGTGAAAGTTTATAATTATAAAAGTCACCAATGCCCAGTAATCTACAGTTCAAAAACCCCTTTATGAAGTTTGTGTTTTGGTTTGATGCTTGTTAGAGAATTTTTATCATTATCAACGGATTGAAATATTTTATGATTGAGCACGACATTAAAAATAATATATTACCCCACAGGACATATTATTTCTCTATTGACACAATAACAAAACTCATAATTTATATTTTGACAGAGATTTTCCTCATTCAATATTTGGTTGAATAAGGTTTATTTTATTCTGGGGTACCGATGCCCCATAGAGGGCAAGCTTCTATGATTAATTACATCTCAAGCATTTATTACTTAGAACTTTTTTAACTAAACTAGTGATTTCTTTAGAGTCATTAAAGCATTGACCAATATTTTTATTTCTTGAATTTGAGAAATTTTTATTCAAATATTTGAACTTTAGGAATTTCAAGGGAGATATGATCAACTTCAATCAAATTTTTGGAATGAAAACCGAAAGAATGAAATATAAGAGTACTTATTTTTGAGGAAACTCAGAGGTACTCAAACAATTCTATGTTAAGCTTTATATTTTAAAATTATATTTTTGTTCAAGTTAATCGATTTGATTTAAAATGTTGAAAAAAATGTCTAGAATGTGAGGGCCTATAAAGTGACTGAAGTCAACAATAGCCTTAGTTCCTAGAGCTAAGGTGAAGAAAATTGAGGGGCAGTGTTTCAAATTTAAGTCTAATAAAGTGCAAAAGACTTATAAACATATACCTCACATGAGACATAAGTCAACTTGATCTTTTAATTTACAACCCTGCCTGGAAAGGGCTACTAGCTAACCCACCTAAATACTTTTAAAACCATTCAGTCCGGTCTCAATGCATATGAAAAGTGGGGAATGCAGTTTTGATTTAAAAGATAGGTCTTTGATAGGAAATACTTGTATTCACAAGTAATCCTAGCCCAAATTAGTGATCAAACAACAATATTAGTGCTGTCCACAGCAGGAAACAGCCACAAAACAGGTGAAAACAGGAGAAATTTACTAGAAATCTGAGAGAAAACGAAGCAAATCTCTTGTATTCCACTAGTAGATACAAGAAAACAAACAAAGATACAATTTCCTTCAATTCGAGAGGAAGGAATAACTCTTTTAATCTCCGGCAATGCCAAGAGCCCAACAAAAGCAAACCCTAGATCTCAAATCTCATTCAAATTCAAGATGAAGATCTAACTCCCACTCTAACTCGTAATTAAAGCAAAAAGGATTAATTAAAAATCCCTAAACAACCCCTTGATTCAAAATTTTCCTCCTAAAGCTCATTACATTAAATGCTTGGGCCCACAAGGGCTGCCGCCCACCCCCCCTCCCCTTTCCTGATATGGTTTCCACCCCCCTTGGCCCGCTTGAAGTAGAAGAGGACCGGTCCATGTTGGACTGGTCCAGCCAGCCCCTCCTAGGCCGGCGGCATAACAATACTCCCCTCTTAAAGACTCACCTTGTCCTCAAGGTGAAAGGAAGGGAATTGCTCTTCATTCTTTCCATTGGCTCCAAAGTAGCCTCGAAATCGGAAAGGCCCCTCTATTTAATCAGCAAGCACTTCTTTGTTTCCTTCTTTATCAGATCTCACTCCTGTAAGCTCCTGTGGCTCTAGCATCACTTCCAATTCTTCAGTCAGTGTCACTGGTAAATCCATGGACACTTCCTCCCATACTCTGTTGGGAAGTGCCAAGGGTTGCAGTAGTCCCCATGGAGCCATAGCCATGTATTTGTTCCTTTGGCACACTTCACACCTACCCATCATTTCCTGTACATCTTTAAGCATCCCCTTCCAGTAGAGCTCAAATGCCAGCCTTCTATATGTCTTCTGTATCTCTGAATGACCTCCCACTGCACTGCCATGGAACTCCTATACCAAATGGGGGATATGTATAGAGGTTATTGGCATCACAAATCTCCCATGATACAACAACCTCTCCCCTTCAATGTAGTAACCTGGATGGATGCTCTTGTTTTTCATCAGATCCTCCCTGATCTTCTTTAGCTCTTCATTCAGCATGCTCTCCTCTTTGATGGCTCCCCAGTCTACCATCAGTGGCACTAATACAACTAACTCTTGGAGCTCCCCCACACATCTGGATAAAGCATCAGCTGCTTTATTTTCCAAGACTGACCTATACTGGATCTCAAAATCATAGCCTAATAACTTGGATAACCACCGCTGATGCTCCTCAGTGACCATTCTTTGCCCCAAAAGTTACTTCAAGCTTCTCTGATCAGTCCGGACGATAAAATGTCGCCCAAAAAGATAGGGCCGCCACTTCTAAATCGCCAAGACAATGGCCATCAGCTCCCTCTCATATACTGACTTCAGTCTTGCCCTAGTTGATAGCACTTGATTGAAGTATGCTACAGGCCTATGGTTCTGCATCAATACTACCCAAAGTCCATATTCCGATGCATACGTCTCTACCAAAAAGGTCTGACTGAAATCTGTGAGAGCTAACACTAGTACTGTCATCATAGCCCCTTTTAATTTCTCAAAGGTCTGAGTTCATACCTCTCCCCATAGGAAGTTGTCCTTCTTCAGCTGCTCAGTCAACGGCCAGGCAATGAAGCTGTACCCCTTCACAAATCGTCGGTAGTACCCAGTAAAACCTAGAAAACCCCTCAGCTACCTTATGTTCCTAGGCCTTGGCCACTTCTGCATTGTCTCAATTTTACTCAGATATGTCGCCACTCCTTCTTGGGACACCACATGTCCTAAGTACTCTACACTTGTCTGGGCAAAACTGCACTTCTTCAAATTAGCCTTTAACTGGTGCTCGTGTAGGACTTCCAGAACCACCCTTAAGTGTTCAAAATGTTCCCCTAAAGTTTTCCTATACACCAGAATGTCATCAAAGAAGACCAGGACGAACTTCCTGAGGTACTGCTTGAATATTTTGTTCATCAAGAATTGAAAAGTAGCAGGAGCATTAGTCAACCCAAAGGGCATCACCAGAAACTCATAATGCCCTTCGTGTGTCCTGAAAGCTATTTTTGGCACGTCGGCTTCCTTCATCCTGATCTAGTGGAAACCAGATTTTAAATCCATCTTGGAGAACAACACAACCCCATGCAGCTCATCAAATAACTCATCAATCACCGGGATTGGGAACTTGTCTGATACAGTGCCCTTATTTAGAGCCCTGTAATCCACACAGAATCTCCAACTCCCATCCTTCTTCTTGACTAGGAGGACTGGACTAGCAAAAGGGCTAACACTTGGCCTGATGATCCCCGCCTCTAGCATCTCTCGGATCAACTTCTCAATCTTATCCTTCAGGATCTGTGGGTAATGGTAAGGGAGGACACTGATCGGTGTCTCCCCTTCCTACAAAGTAATGGCATGCTCCAGCTCCCTCTGGGGTGGTAAACCCTGCGGAGGTTAGAAAACCTCGCTGAACTGATGTACGAGAAGTTGTACTGAGGAGGGAAAAGTGCCTTCTTTCTCAATTCTGATCCCTTCCAATCAGTGTAACTCCACCAATTAGCCTCCCCCTTCCTCCTGAATGGTTCGGATTAGGGATTTGAGTGCCACCCCAGCCTTGGTTAGCCTAGAATCTCCTTGGATCACCCTTCTTCTTCCCCCGATCACCAGCTCCATCCTCAATGTCCCTTCCTCTCTAATCGCCTCCACCATCTCCCCAACACCCTTGACCGTTGGGCTTCTGAATTCTACATTTTATTCATATTAATTGAGCATTTATCTCAATAATTATGATCTTTGGAGATCCACAACCGCTTTAACTTTTCCCTTTACCAAAGCAAACCAATCACCTCTTCACCTCCCATGTTGACTTTTTTCTTTCCCAAGCCAACTAATCCCCTTCCCAAAGCAAGCCACATCAGCCTTTCTTTTCCAACCAGCCCCACATCTTTACCTCCCAAGCTGACTTTTTCCTTTCTCAAGCCAACTAATCCCCTTCTCAAGCAAGCCACATCAGCCCTTTCTCTTCCCTAAGCAGCCAGCACCCACCTCTTCACTTCCCAAGCAGATTTCTCCCTTTAAGCCATTAAAATTTGCCAAATCATCTCTCCCCTCCTCCTCCCCATGCAACCAGTCTAGCCTTCCCCTCTAAACCCCAAAACCATGAGCCTCTCCAAGGAAATCTAGCTTCTACTAATGCAATAAGGACATTGATTCAACAAAGAGCAAGGGTTTCAAGGGCAAGCAAAGGAGGAGCTTGATGTCATTTCATAAGGACTCCATTCCTCCCATTAATGAGCTAAGTAGCAAACCCTCCTCATGTTCTTCATCTAACTAAATATTGGTCTTTTCATTTCATCTATAGTAGCATTATCTTAAATGTGTTGATTAATCAGCCAAGTTAAACTTAAATTTGAGCGAACATAAACTGTAGTGACTAGTCCCTTAATTAAATGTTGGACTGGTGCCAACCCATATTAGCTAGCCTAAACTGATTTACCTCTTTTTTTGTTTTTAGCCTTTACTTATTAGTTTTTTGCTATCACATAATCTCATAGTTTAAAATTTCTTATTGTTTTTAATGTTTTATGAGGGTTATTTTGTTGTCCTTGATGTTTTCTTAGCATAAATCTCTATTTGTATGACTTATTTAGCTTAGTCCTGCATCCCTTTTGACATAAACCTTTCAGGATTCATGAAATATAATATCCCAAACTACAGAACAGTTGCTTGAACTAGACGAAACAAACAAAACAAACAAAGGTCGAACTCACCGAAATGAACAAAACAGGGATGGGCAAATCGATGAATGTTGAAGCCACCAGCAAAACGAACGAAGCTGTCGTGTGTCGCATGAATTGCAAAAACCGAAGGAGGAAATTGAAATCGGCGCCATTTATGTTACCAAGAATCACGAAAGCTAACGAGCGAGAAGTTTAGGTCACGTGAAATGAAAGAAGACGACGAACTCGACGTTACATGGAGTCAAAGAAACCGAAAGGGGATTCCTCCTTATAAATTAAAGAGGGAAATGGGGGAGATCGAGAGAAAGAGAGAAAGGAAGGAAGAGAGAGAGAGAGAGAGAGAGAGAGAGAGAGAGAGAGAGAGAGGAGCTTATGTCTGGGGCGAACAAACGAGAGCGAAAGTGAGAGAGAAAGATCGATTGTGGGAGAGACGATGAAGACGAGCGCAAACAAGGAAACGAGCGAGAGCAAGGGCTCAACCAACCGGTTGGGAAGTGTAAGTTATATATATATATAGAATTTTATAAGATAAATAAATTTAATATTTTGTTAATAATAATTAAAATATGTAATTAATATTTATATATCCCTTATTTAGAAAATAAAATAAATTAGATATGTAACCATTTTAAAAGATTAATATTTATATAAAGATATATATGGGGAGAGTAAGAGCGCATGTATTTTAAAATTTAATAATAAATGAAATCTTAATTAATAAAATGCCTTATTATTGTGTTAAAAAATAATTAAAAAGAGAAGAAAAGATAAATGCGAGCAATCCGTAATTTAATATTTTGATAATAAATAATATCTTATGTATGGGTGCTAAATCTATCAACGTGAGAGCAAGGAAAAAGAGTAAAGTATTCCAATACCTAGATTTATATAAATGAAATTATTAAATAGATATGCTTGCATGTGCATTTTGAATGATGAAGCACGCTCCCTTATGTTACTGTTTGGGAACACAATATACCCATGCACGTAAATGCATGCACGTAAATGAAAAAGATCATAAAAATAAAAGAAAAATGAAAAAATGAGTATTTTTATTGGTACTATTTTATATGGTGTTTCTATAACAGTTATATTAGTTTAAAAGAATAAAAGATATGATCTATGTCACATATAGATATATATAACGTTGATAGTCATGTGCAAGTTGAATTTTAAATTAAATTACTTTATTTTTAGATGGAGCATGCATATTATTCTCGATACATTGTATTACTGTAATTTAGAAACATGATGTGCACACTGAGTTCTTTTAAGATTTACCATTTTCATTAAAAATATTTATAGATATAATCCGATTAATTAAGATGAGTAGAAAATGAGAGAAAGTATATCGTATGCGCGACACTCATAAAGAAAGATATTTATATCATTTGATTTTAAAATTTTAAGATTTTAATGACCATTTCTATGTACGAAAAATAGTTAGTAATTGAAAATTTGATGAAGCATCTGACCGTTTATACCCGCCTCGTTGATTCGAGCCTCCAAATTGGGTCGTGACAAAAGAGGAGTATTTTAAGAATGTGAATCGTACATAATTAAAGAACCATGGGAATAATTTATGAAATTATTCGAAATGAAACTAAGAGATTCGATTATATAGTATAATTAATTATCTTCTATCAGGTATCCAGATGATCAAGATGACGTAACCAATAGAAATATGGAAGGAGAAGAACTATCACTTAAAGTAACTATGAACACAAACACCTTCACCCAAATGATGGCGACTATGACCTAACGACCTCATGAATCAAGATCGCAGCCTAGAGTTGGAGTGGATAAATATAAAAAATGGGGTGGGAGAGACGACGAAAACGAGCGCGAACAAGGAGATGAGCGAGAGCAAAGGCTCCCCTAAAATGGTTCGTTCATAGCAATACCGAGTAATACCGAGCAATACGCGAACATAGCAATCCTGGGTCCGTTCCGGGTCGATTTGTTGGGCCACGCGATAAATAGTGAGAACACGTGGCACTATATTACTAGCCGATCGAACGTAGAGCTACGTCAAGTGATCGGACCAAATAAAAGTTCTGATTCCTGAGGCACACACGAACTAGGAAAACGTAAATAAAAGAACAAGAAGAAGCGGAAAGACTCGATTTCGTAGATTGAGCGCTCAATTCCCTGCTATGAGATACATGACAGAAAGGCAGCACCCCTGGGAGCGAAATTGAAGAACATGAGGCCATTGGATTTGAATTTTTTGATTTAGAAGTGGATTTGGACTTAAATTGAATAAATTAGGCTGAATCGAGTTCCAATTGAGTCAATCAGGCTTCGGTTTAGTTTAATTTGAATCTATTTGAGTCGATTTTGATCAATTTGAGTCGATGTGGATTTGACGAGGCTCAATTGAGTTGATCTAGCTCAATCGTGCCTAATTCGAGTCAAGTCGACAGGAAAATTGTGTCAACACAAATAATTGAGATAAGTCTAATGACAATATTATACAAATGTTTCATCCCAGCAATCAAAGATATATTTAAGGTGCATCTTCTAAACAAAATTGATTCTATCAAATAAATAATAATATTATACAAATGGTCAATTTCCCTTACCACACAGTTTCTAAATCAACTTGTCGCTTCACACTTCCGTTTACAATAACATAAATAAAACACTTTTAAGCATCAATCAAGCTAAAACAAATTCAGAAATCAACAAGCAATTAAATTTCTCATGTGATAAACCTAATAAGTAAGAAATAAAGGTGAATATGACATCATACAAAAGGTAAAAAGCATGAAAAGTAAAGTGTACATTAAGTTAAGTACATCTTTTCTGCATATATAGAATAAGCCAAAAAGAAAAACACAATGGAACAAAACTTTATTCCAGATTACCTGAGAACCGTTTTATAATTAAAAATTTCCAATACACCCCGTCGAATATGCTTATGAGTTTCAATTGGTATGGATTGTTCAGCAAGGCTTTGAATCACATCTCCATCTCTCTTGGATGACGAATCTGCATTGTGTTCAGTTTTAGTCTCCACAGAATCTGATGCCTGAGAATCTATCATCATTGAAAATTTCTTCCCTAACTTTTGCATCCTATGGAGCATGAAATCAATAATATTGAAGCATTAAATTTCCAAAAAAGGCACATAATTTAACCAAATAGGAAAGAAAGGTATAATTCTTAAATAAATGTCTGGCAGAATGTTTGGCAGCACAAGACGACTGATCAGAGTAAACTAACATTGAATAGAAACAACCACATTTACAAACATCTATGCATATGAACCACTGTTGTAGCCCTTCTTCCAGCGTCTTAGGATGTAGAACCCTAAAACATCAAACTATAAAAGCAGAAAAAATAGATACCAAGAACTACTATAAAGTCTGATTACAGGAAAATCAATAAATATATAAAGTTTGAACAGATGACAGCCCCAATTCATTTATCACATAAACTTAGACTAGAAAATACTCAGAACAATGCCTACAGGGACTACTAACATGTCAAGCTTTAACCCACATAGTTACACTATCTAAGGTCTAAACATAAAAAGGTAAGAAATCATTATCGGAAAGTAATAATTAAAAAATATTACTAGTTAAAACTTATAATATTATTGTTGTGATATGATGTCTTGACCGGACATCTGAAATGCTGACATTTTCGCCCGCATTTTCGCCACTTTATAGCCAGATGTGAAATTTCCACTGTTGACCTCTAACTGCCGGCAAAACTGACAACTCAACCGCCCCAACTCCACAGTGCCACAATCTTGCCTTTTTTATGTTTAGACCTAATGATAGCCCATCTCTCCACACATTTCTGCTATGTGTTTTCTGTGGGCTCATGAAATTCCATCACGTGATGGAATTTTAGGAGACTCCATGTTGGCTCAAGAAAAATGACACGAATGCATAAATCCCACTTTGCAGTCGTAGGATTCCTGTTGAAACTTAGAAATCAATATTGACTTTTATGCTATGTTGCACCGATACACCTATTTATGAAGGCGTGCTATATCTGATACACCGATACACTGATACGCCTCCGATATGCCACCGATACGTGTCGGATACACCAAAGCCATATCCAATTAAAATACTATTTAATTTCAAAAGGACACGCATATCCGATATGCGTGTAAGTTGAAAACAAAAAAAAATCCAAAAAAAAAAGGCGCATCGTATTTACTTCCGGGGCTGCGAGCAAGGTTCTCTCATTTCCGAGATGGTTTTGAGTCTCTTGATAATATGAGAATATTAGAAATTACTAATCTTTCACTTGATGAGCCTAAATTAGAAGCTATGTATTTATTGAAGATGATATAAAAGTTCAAAGACACACCAATGAAGAAGCTAATCATATCATTACTTCTATTGAATAGTTGAAATTTCATGTGCTAGATAATTTATGTTTATGCTTTTGTTGTTGTACTAGACATTTAATGCTTTCTTATATTTTGATATTATAAGCTACAAGGTTACAAATGATGTCATTTTTTTTTTTTGTAATTTCAAATATTATGCTTTGATTGTTTTCTTAATTTTTATGTATGATTCATAAATTATAATGTCGTGTCAAATTATAATGCCGTATCCGCGACGTACCCGTATCATATATTTTTAAGAATTGACGTGTCCCGTATCCGTATCGTGTCGTATCCGTGTCGCCTTATCCGTATCGGTGCAACATAGCTTTTATGTTATGTGATTTTTTAAAGATGACAAAATATTATTATTCTGATATTATTATTGTTTCTTCTAACATACATTGGATATATTTCTATTCGTTTTGTCTGTACTAACATTTCAGGAAAATCATACTCTAGACTTCTGAAGACTTCAAAACAGAGTAGAATAGAATTTCATGTAATGAAGTCAGTAAATTTTTTTATTTTTTTGAGTCTGAGAGAGTGTGATTGTAATTGAGTAACTGTGCACACACAAAGGGGGAGAGTTCAAATTGAAATTTTTTTACCCTATTCATACTGTACGACGTCAGTTCATACAGACGACTGACAATGTGCAAAATAAGTTTCATACTAGATTGTCCAGACGAACTTGAACTGTTTGTACATATGATCTAAAAATTGTACAGATGACTGACAGTGTACGAAATAAGTTTCATACCAAATTGTCTAAACGAACTTGAACTATTCGTACATACGATCTAAAAATCGTACAGACAACTAATAGTGTATGAAATAAGTTTCGTACTATTGTTTAAAATTGCACAATATGAGGCTCACCTTGAGGCCCGCCTTAGCGTAATTCCAGTGAAAAACACATCGAGGCTTACGGCTCCAATTTTTTCTTAATAAGGTTTGCGCCTCAGCTTAGCTGAGGCCCGCCTTGAGGCACGCCACGCCTCGCTGACATGAGGCTTACGCCTCACCCTATTTATATATACATTTATTAAAACTTACCTAAATCCTAAATTAAAGCCTAAAAAATAGTCACGCTTTAATGCGCCCCCAAGTTGCAGCAACTTCCTATCGACTGCCTTGACCTCCAACCATCCGTTTTCTCCATAGTCAACATCATCTTAGTCGCGAAGGATCACTTGAAACTTGCACACCACCACCACCACTTCCTCTAAAATTTTAAGAGTATTAATCTCATCTTTATATTAATGAAAAATATTTATGAAAGGGGAAGATTGAAATAAACAAAGAAGAAGCAAATTGGGAGACATTGGACTCCATAGGATAAGAGAAGGGAGAGATCAATTTGTTGCTAAGATGACGACTCAAATAAAAACCTTCTTAGTGATGATAGTGCAGATGAAATCTAAGTTTTTGTCAACTATTTCAATTTTCTTGAGGAATTTAGTGTGAATGAGTAGGGAACTAAGAAAGAAGGAATTTGAAGTTGAACTTGATATTATATAATACTTTTATGTCATTCATATATTTAATATTATTTTGTTTTTATAATATTTGAATTTCAATTCTATTTCATGTAATTTATCACTTGTCACTTTACGCCTTGTGCAATTTTTTATTTTATATGTATGTCAATTTGTTAATCCATAATTCAATAGAGAAAGGTAATATGTCATCCTTTAATATATTAGTTAAGTATTATATAAAAAATAACTTTCAAGATTTATTTTAACTTAATGCAATTTTTTTATTTTGAGACTTACGCCTCACCTCTTGAACAAAAAACGCCTCAATACCAAATTACGCAATTTTAAACCTTATTTCGTACCAGATCGTCTAGAAGAACTTGAACTGTTTGTACATACGATCTAAAAATTGTACAGACGACTAACAGTGTACGAAATATATTTCGTACCAGATCGTCCAGACGAAATTGAACTGTTGGTACATACGATCTAAAAATCATACAGACAACTAACAATGTACAAATAAGTTTCGTACCAGATCATTTAAACGAACTTGAACTATTTGTACATACGATCTAAAAATCATACAGACGACTGACAGTGTACGAAATAAGGTTTGTACCAGATCGTCGAAACAAACTTGAAATTGTTGACTAATAAAAGAAAAAGAAGAGCAATGGCTTAAAGTGAAGAGAGACCTAAAATCATAACCTGAAGAAGACATTAGAATTAGCTATTGTGTACTAATGCATCTGAAGTCTCAAAATAAAATCAGTTCAAGAAAATAAACATTGATGACCTTTGAGATTCAATAGTGTTTTTTAGCAAAAAGACAAAAAAAAAAAGTCAATAGAACTAGCACTTGCTTGCAAAAAAAAGAAAACTGTTGGCTATTAAAAAAAAAGAAAAAAAAAAACAAAACAATTTAGGAGAAAGAAAGTTAGAAGAGGTGCATCGCTTCCCATGCCTTCTCCCGCCCCACATTGGCAAAACGGGCCCTTGTTTCGTTAAAAAAAAAAAAATTTTCGTTGAGCGGGCAACTTAAACAATAAAAAAAGAGATATAAATTGAAGAGGGGCTGACATCCATTTGGATTTTATTTTTGGGATGGTGCTCTTGTTCTGTGTCGGTCGAGCCCAACTGAACGCCGAATAGAAAATATTGCTTCTGCCAGTTTCCTTCGACGCCCCAAACTCCACAGTTTCGTTGGCGACGTCGCCTCCTTGCACACTCGCCGTCGAGCACAACCACAGACCTCGCACCGTCGACTTTAAGTCCGGTCGAGATGGTTTCACCTTCAAGATCTCGTACCGTTGACTTTAAGTCCGGTCGAGATGGTTTCAAATTCAAGACCTCGCGCCGTCGACTTTAAGTACAGCTGAGATAATTTCAAGTTCAAGGCCTCGAGCCGTCGACCTTAGGTCCGGCCGGGAAGAAAATATCGGCAAGTGCCGACCCGATTTCTCTCTCGGTGGGGAGGGGACGCCGGGAAGCTGCCGAATTTTCGTCAAAAATTTTGGATTTAAGTGGATAAAAAAAATATTGAGCTTTAAGAAAAAAAAAATTGAAATTATAGAGCATTTAATTCACCGGGTGAATTAATTGATAAACTATAATATTGAGTAGTTAATTAATTGACTTGATAATTAATTAAACATCCATTTGAAATAAATGCAAATCAATTAAATTTATATGAATTTATATGAGATGTTTTGACAACCTTCAGCCACAAAATCATTTAAAGAATCTGATCATATGGTATTACATAAGTGCAAGTTCAACAATATGAATGAACAACGTCAATGTGATCTTCAAAAAAAAAAAAATTGAAACATTACATGAAAGGGAAAATTCTTTCACATTTGGACAACTTCCCTTCTTCAAATCTCTGAAAATTTTTCTTCAAACTCTCCAAACATAATAGCTTTCAAACTTTCCAATTCAAAAGTACTTTATTCTCCAAATCTTATACAAAACTCCCCACAGCAAATTGAAACTCTTCTAAAAAAAAAAACACAATAAAAAAAAATCAAAACTAATGGGCAGCCTTGTTTATAAGGACTTGGTTGTAAGACCCGCTACCCGGCAACTTTCGTAGGAAAGTCGTAAGTCCGACCTTAGAGAAAAGTTTTAGGTGGAAATTGACCTAACCCCTAAACCCAATTAAAACCCCGGCCACTTCTAATAGAAGTCGTAAGTCTGACCTTTGAGGGAAATATTTAGGTGATAACACAAACCTAGACCTCTCATTTGGGCATCCTAGTCTAAAAGGACTAGGTTGTAAGACCCACAACTTGGGCCGCTTAGCTTACAGGGCTAGGTCGTAAGACCCACCGTTAGGCAACTTCTAAGGAAGCCATAAGACCTATCCAACCAAAATTCTTCGGGCAACTCCTAATTGGAGCCATAAGCCCCAAACTAAACAAATTATCCGGGCAGCTTCACTATAGAGTTAAGGTGTAAGACCCATCCTTGGGCCACTCATAAATAGAGTGATAAGTCCCAATTCTAAATCAAACTCCTGGGTAACTCCTAATTGGAGCCGTAAGCCCCAAACTAAACAAATTAACAGGCAACTTCTAAGGAAGTAGTAAACCCGAACTCAAATTAAATTAAAACTAAATTAAAATCAACACCTAACCACTTCAGTCTATTCGGGATCCCTGAGAGGAGGCAACCCATGGATGCTAATCAGATTTCCTGGACACTACAATCAATTATTGTTAGTGTTGGTAGACTGAAATCTATGGTATACCCGGGGCGACGGAACCATGGGATCTTGATCGGGTTTACCTCCATTTCTCCATTATTGAGACTAAAATTTATCTAAAATTATTTCATCCTTAATCGAGAGTTCTCTCTTACGTAGTAAGAGGGGTAATTAACTATGAGTGCTTGCGCTCATAGGAAGTAAGAACCCCAGATCTTTAAACCCTGATACTATCCTCAGGGGAAATCTGGTTAATCTCAATCTAACTTAAGGGAAATGGAATCCTACAGCTGCAAAGCAGGATTCACGCATTCGTACCATTTTTCTTGAGCCAACAGAAATATTCGTACATTCGATCTAAAGTTCGTACAGACAACTAGCAGTGTACAAAATAAAGCTCGTACCAGATCGTCCCATGATTTTTGAACAGTTCGTACAGACGATCCCCGATCGTACTATACGATCTGACTCGCTTTCACTTGAAAATTTCATTTTATGGACGATGTTTTATGAATTTTCTATATAATGATTCCTATAAACTAACTTAACATCTATTTATTGTGATTTTTTCTTAAGAGTGAAAAAAAAGGAGAGTTTTTTGGGAGTGTTTGGGAGTGAAGAGTGAGAGAACTTGTAAGATAAAATTGTGAGGGATTCACAAGATTTCCTAAAGGTAAAGATTTCTTGTTTGTTTTCCAAATTTCTGCCTTACTTCCTTAAAGACTCTTAAGAGAAGATATCCAAAGTAGATCAGGTACTTTGCCTTCACCAGGAGGGTGAAAAAGGATGATGGTTCTCTGCCTTCACCAAGAGGGTGAAAAAGGACGACGGTTCTCTGCCTCACTAGGAGGGTGAAAAAGGACGACGATTCTCTATTGCAACGGGTTGGTGGAAGAGAAGTTTTGTAAGGACTTCTCCGCCTTGCTGTGGGAGAAAAAAAGAGAGTCACTTGTGTTTATGTCAAATTGCATTAGCAAGATAACCCATTTAGCTAGACGACCAATGAGAGTGGGTTTAGCATTAAAAATTTTAACGGATTCACTTTAGATATTAAAGTGATTTGATGAGATAAAATATAATGTCGGAGTTTTTAAGCGAAAAAAAATTAATGATAAGCATTGCTTTTCAATTGGTGAATATTTACTCTGCCCTTATTAATCATCAGGCGATATAATAAAGAGCATTTTTTTGTCATCTTCATTTATTTGTGCTAACAATGCTCCAAGTGATTCGTCAGGAGCAGTTGTATATAGAATTAGGTGTTTCCCTAGAATAGGGGGGCGGCAAAGATTGGAGAATGAAGCAAATATTATTTTATGCTATCAAATGCTTCCTGACAAGCATCATCCAATATAAAAGGTGTATTTTTCTTCATTAGACGTGAGAATGGTTGACATCTACCTGAAAGGTTGGATATAAACCTTCGAATGTACATTAATCTATCCTGAATTAAATGAAGTTGTTTTAAAGTTTTCGGATATGGCGTTTCCACGATTGCTTTAATTTTAGAGGGGTCAATTTCAATTTCTCTATTATGTACAAAAAAATTTTCAGATGTAACACTGAAAACACGCTTTAATGGATTTATTTTCAAATTGAATTTTTGAATTCTTTCGAATACAATCCTAAGATCATTTGCATGCTCATGTTGAACTTTACTTTTTACAACCAAGTCATCAACATAGCATTCAACATGTTTATGAATTAGATCATCGAAGATTCGAGTCATTGCTCTTTGGTAGGTGGCTCCAGCATTTTTCAAGCCAAATGACATCACCTTGTAGTAATATATGTTGATGGGAGTTTGAAATGAGGCATGTTTTTCATCTTTTTGAATCATTTTTATTTGATTATAACCTGATGATCCATCCATAAATGAGAACATATCATGATTCGATGTGTTATCGACCATATGTTCTACATTAGGCAATGGGAAATCATCATTTGAGAATATTTTATTCAAATCTTGGTAGTCTATACAGACACTGATTTGACCGTTCTATTTTTTTATTGGAACGATATTAGCGATCCAATCAGCATACTTCTATTCTCGAATAAAACCAGCTTTAATAAGCTTCTTGGTTTCAGCAATGACTTACTCTTCAATTTTAAGTCGCATTCTCCTGAGTGCTTGCTTAATAGGCAGTATTTTGGTGTCGATGGAGAATTTATGTACTGCTACTTCTGATGATAATCCAGGCATTTCAGTGTAGTTCCATGCGAAACAATCTTTATATTCGAGAAGTAGCATTCTCAGCTCCGCTTTATCCTGCGAGAGATTAGCACTGAGGAATGTAGGTTTGAGATGTTCTTCAGTACCTAAGTTTATTTCTTTGAGCTCTTCTACAGTAGCTTTACCACCTTCTTCAAACTCTTTTGGAGCTTCTTTCAGATCTATAATTAGATCTTCAGTTTGATTTTCCAACTCTAATGATCTCTCTTCCTTGTCTGCAATATTATAGGAGGTTGCGAATGTAAGACACAGATGTCGGGGGTATTCAAGATAATAATAGGATGCTGCTCGTGTAAGATATGAATGTCGAGCATATCCAAGACCCACGTTGTAGAAAAACCATTGCCAATGGGCTATTGTGCTTGCTCGTTATGCAGAGCTTTCTAAAATAACATGCTTGCTTGCTTGTTTGCACGAATAATATTCTTCTTGCTATTAGCTTTCTCATAATTGATGGAGAATATTGAGGAATGATTATCCGCATATCTTTGTATTTCCAATCATCTTCGAATTTTATGTTATGAGTAATGTGTTGCGGTATTATTTCTTGATTCATAGAAAATGGATCTACATTCATTGAGATCTCTTTTGGAGGGAACATAGAAAGTTTTTTAACATTTTTATATTTATGTTTAGCGAGGTAGTCAATGTTTTAGAATGTGCCGCCGGCATAGGTACTATTTTAATGATATTTGTAGATATCTGAGCTTCAATTATTCTTATCATTGAAATTGATACTTTATGCATTTTTTTAGATATGGAATTGAGTCATGGGTACCCTTCCTCCTGAAATTTCATAGCACCCTTAGACTGATAAAGGAATTCTTCTTCTTCCTCAATGCTCGATTTTCTTGAACGTTGTACCTTATTTGCATGTTTAGCTTCGTAATCAAAAGGGACAGCTAATTGCTCATTCTTTCTTTTCCCTATGATTATGGTTTTAAAAGTTGTGGAGATATTATCATCTTCTTCGATATCACTACCGAGATGAGGCACTGAGCAAATTTACTTTGATTTATTCTTTCTTTTATCTTTCGGCTTTCCATTATCCAGTATAGTGGCCTGAATTCTCGAAAGTTCACTTCCTTTTGGCTTTTGTGCTATAAAGTATTTGACGTCATCATAGATTTTGACTTCATGCACCAAGAACGGTTGTTAATCACCATCAATGCGATATTCTTCATTATTTTGAATGTATTTCATACATTGATGAAGCGTTGAGGGTATTATACCATACTCGTTGAGCCATAATCTTCCGAGAAGTGCTTTGTATGATGTGTTGGAATCAATGATGTGAAATGTTGTCTCTTTATTAAAAACCCAAAGTTCAAAGGCAAGACCGAGGATCCCAACGTTCATGGCCCTTATTCATTGAATTCTTGTAGAAATATTGCGCTTCTATTCAAATATTGGATGTCTAGGGTCAATCCTTTGAGTGTTTTAAGGCTAATTAGATTAATCGATGAACCTTGATCGATCAAAATTCTATTTATTTCAATGTTGTAACAAAATACTTTAAAGCAATAAGATGTAGTAACAAAATACTTTAAAAGCAATACCGCATTGAAGAGGCCCTGGTAACAGTTTCATCAGCCAATTTCCTCGAAGGTAAGGAATGGAGGTAATCAGACCTGCTCAAAATAATTAGAGAACTCAAATCAAGAAGTGATTTGTATATTATAATAAGTTTACAAAAACATTTCAATTCATTTCGAACGGACTATCATGAAGAAAAAACTTATAAGATAATTATTTAATAAAAATACTTACCGTGTCATAAATTGTGCATTCTTAACCACTTCCACAGCCATCTTTTGCTTAATTTTATTTGATAAGGGACTATCTATGGGATGGTATTGCAGTACAACCCAAGGCTGCACATACCAAAGCGCCAAGTGAGGAAGAAGAGTTCAAAATTTTCTATCAATAAGAAAAATCAAAACAATCAAGGTGCTGCAAATTATATCGGTTATTTTTACAGTTTGACTTTTCTGATTATTTCGGTAAGAAAGCTAAAATCCATTCTGTGATGAAAAAGTACCAAAGGGAGAAAATTCAAGGAGATGGGAAACAAGAAGGAAAAGACAGAATGGTCAAAGATGATCAAAGTGATAATGATATAACAAAGGTTTTGACGACTGAGAATTTATCTCCTCAGCAGATTTTCTATCATAGAACACTACTGGGTGAATCCAGCAGGAATTCAAGGGAAAAAACCTAATAATTATAGCATTCTTATTTCCATAAGATCATTGTAATCATCGTTAAAGGATAAAAGCCTCATGTTGAGGAAGATAAAGGACACAGGAATAACAGAATCAAGTAAAGAGTTCCAAACCCAAAGCTTGCAGATGAAGATAAAGGAACAAGTTAAAATATTGAAGGAAAAAGAGAGGCAGTATGGAGGAAATGAAGATGATGAATCACCTCCGGAGAGTAGGTTACTGTTTTGTTGTAATCCCATGAGCTTGGAAACAAATTAAGATGAAAACAGAAAGCGAGGAATATGAGAATTATATGAAAATAAGGAGGATAAGAGGGACAGGAAAACCAGAAGGAACAGTTGACAGAATAAAGAAACAAACAATCTTGAGCGTTTCATTTGCTACAAGGGCATTTACCATAATTCATTCAGGCAAAACGATTAGTAATTCTTGCGAGTCAAATGAAGTTTCTAGTTATTGTTTAATCGAACAACCACAGATGGAACAACCTCAATTAGCTATAAGACAATGATATTGACGAAGTGACATATTTTAGCCTGAATCTTTCTCTTTAATTTGAGTGATCGTGTAGCAAGCAAAACATAGACTAATGTTAAATATAATTTTTAATAGTATTTAAAGCTTGTAAGGTTGATTAATGAAATTATGCATTAATGAACTCATTACTATATAATTTGAACTTTTTGGTGTTTCTAGTCATTTGAACATGCATGTCACAGATTGCCATTCAATATGAAATGGACACGGGCTTATCCTTTAAAATATCTTCAACTTGCCTTTTGTTTTCTTATGCATTTTCTAGAGGCATCGTTATGTTCTTACCACGAAAAATGGATCAGTTTCTAGAATAGATCACACTGTTACATAAAACAAAGCAGGTGACACCTCTTACGCTGCCAAATTTTTCTCGACTAAAGTGGTTAGATAGCACGGTTTTTCAAACAACATTTCTTCTAAGAAAAAGTAAAAAATGAGGCTGTTAAAAATAACTTATTTATTTATTTATTTATTTATTTTTTCTGTTAAAAATAACTTGAGAGATCTACTTCTTAGTTTACTTGATTGGAATATTTATAGATTGGATCTAGTTCTTATAGCTGAATTCTTTGACAGCTTTTTGAACTGATCTAATGAGATAATCCTTTTTACATAATTTTATGTTCTCGCCATAAAAAATACTTGAGATAGTCCTTTTAGATGACTAATAAATTTGTCAAGTCTTTTAGCCAGCATATTATGATTTGCGTGTATACATTCAGCAGATACTTAATATTAGTAATTAAAATGACAGCTTTACTGCAGATGTGCATAAAAATAAAGTTTAACAGCAGGTTAGCGGATAGGGTTGTAACATGACTTCAACGTGAGATATTTCTTGACGTAAGTTTGCAAAATTGGCAACAAAAAGAACAAGCCTGGTAGAAAAAGAGATGTAGAAGAGGAGAAGAGAGACAAAGTGGTCAAATGCCTGCTTGATTACAATGCCAAAACTTGATACAACAACAACAACAACATCAAGCCTTTATCCCACTGGGGTCGGCTACATGAATCCTTTTTCTCCATTGTGTCCTATTAAAAATCAAATTCTCGTATAAATCTAATGCCAAAACTTGATCCAAAAAAGAAAGTTACAAAGGTGAACAAGTAGAAAGAAATTAATCCATCCTTGCAAGAAATGAAAACTGAAATATTATAACTGATTTAATTGAAAAACTAACAAATATAACTGACAGAATCCCTAAGAACTACAATGCACCGATACACCTACTATAAGAACCGAACCGGCGAATTATTTAAAAGAGGGGCAGGGGTCTCGCGAACAAAAGAGGGGCAATTCGCGAAACAGGCAGGGGCGAATGGCCGAACTCACATGAAAAGACTGGGGGAAGATTCATTTCACCATTTTTAACAGTCAATCATTGTTGACCTCCATGCATTATCCAAAAGAAAACAAAAAAATTCATTTACCTGTTATACAACGCCGGCAATACACTCCACAAATCCCGCAAAATTAGCTCGACACCGTTTGAGTAGCATCCAGCGATTCCCGCTCAAATCCCGCTTTCGATCGCTTCTCTCCAAGGTTTTTAAAAGCCAACCAATCGGACACCTCCAGTGCTGGCTCCATTCGCAACCCACACATGACCAAACTCTCGTCGTTTCTCCTGACTCTTCCCACAACTCGCAAACATCCTGCAAACCCCTCCCAGACTTCCGACTTCTCCTACTCCCAAAGCCGACGCCAGATCCATTCGCAAGCTTCCACTCAACCTCCTCCACCTACTTCAACCAGGTCGTCAAGCCCCATAGCTGCCGACGACCTTTCTCCTGCTCTGATTCCTCGATGATTAAGGTCTTCGATCGGACCCAGCAGCCGCAAATCCATGACCTCAATCCCATTTCTAATACCTTTATCTAATCCCTTGCAAATCCAATAACCACGTTTGCTCTTCCTCTGGCCGAACTCCCCATATACGTTTGGATCCCTACCTAGCCGCAAGCAATAAATAGATAGATAGAGAGAGAGGGAGGGAGAGAGAGAGAGAGTTCTCTCTAACCTAGCCAAGATCCACCGCAAGCCTCTCACCCCTTTAGCCATCTGAGTCTTCCACTTTCTCCCTGTTTAACCCCACTGTGTTGAGCCCTTGTGCTTAGCAGCCTATCTCCAGCTCCTTTCATCTACAAGCCAAAATCCTCCACTCCCTCTATTGAAATCCACTTGCTGCCTCCCTATTCCCATCTTCCTCTTACTTTAATCAGATTCTTGTTCGAACAAAAAAGAAGGAAAGCAAAAAAAGGAGAAAAGCAAAAAAAAAAGAAGGAAAAAAAAAAAAGAGAAAAGAAAGAAAAAAAAGAGATGAAAAAAGAAAAGAAAAAAGAAGTCCAAAAAAAGGGAAAATTCAAAAATGATTTTATGTGTTTTGTATCGCCGTTACATGCCCCAACTCCCCGGAATGCAAAGGTATAAGTTTTATACTTTGAAAACTCATTTTCGACACATGTGGTGCGACAAAACGACCACCTATACACGTTTTTCTTAGCGTGGTGGAAGGGAGTGCGTCACGTCGCTTGGGACAAAGCAGTTCATGTCTCACTAGAAAACCGTATATACACGCTTTTCTTAGCGTGGTGGGATGGGAACCCGGTGCGATGCGAATGACGAAGTGGGGATACCCATAGGTACCCGCTTGCGGGGAAACAACTGCTTTTCTTTTGCAATAGGTACCGAAGACCTATACACGCTTTTCTTAGTGTGGTGTGGAACGAAGAAAATACGGCCGCAGTGCCCTCGTCCGAGGACACCTACTACACATGCTTTTCTTAGCATGGTGGAAATGACCAATTTCCAGTAGTTTTCCCCTAAACGGGGGAGATGCCGGGAGGCTGCCGAAATTTCTGATGACGTAAGATTGCAATAATGAAATTTCATTTGAGCAACAACATAATCAAATCTCATGACATAATGTGATGCTCTCAATGGATAACACAACTTGCTTACAAAGAGAGATTAACAAGATCTCTACCTATAAGCTATGGCATGAAATCTCCAATGAACGTCAAAGAACCATCATGAATTCCTAACCAAATGCAAATGAGTAATAATTCACCTACAAAATTTTATCAAGGAGTTTGTGGAAATGCATTCAAGTGAATAACGATGGGAAAGTAGAGTTTGTAAGCAAAGATCAAGAACTCGCAATGAATGTGGACACACATAACTGTGTGAAGCAGACAAGTAATAAAGAGAATAATTTTCTTAAGAGCACACGACACATTCAAAGTCTATTTATTAGTCTCCATAAAGGTCCTCAAACGTTGCAACAAATCACCCTACAAACCAATGCCAGTTGTCTTACGGATACATACAATAGCCCACAGAAGCAATGGAAGACGTGTACAGTGAATGTAACAACATCTCTACCAATTACAATAATGCAATGCCAAGCAAATAAAAGAATATATTCTCTTACAAGTCCTGAAGATTGATGTGTTATGAGTATGGCAAGTTTCTAGCAAATATGCATGAAGAAACTTATAGATGAATGTGATCCATATCAACACATACAAGCAACAAAGGGGTTCAAATTACAATGAACTATTGATGAAAGAGCATATCCAAAAGGTCAAAGCAAAATGCAACCAACATCACTTATTCAAAAGGTCAAATCAAAATGCAACCAACATCACTTTATTCCAATGTATGGGATTTACACAAATCATGCAAAAGGATGTTGAAGTCCCTACAACCGATGTCAACTACTATGCAGATGCCTACAAGCCGCCGTAGGAGACTTGCTCTATGCATCACATATTAGCTGAAGACAAATGAAAAGGATTCAACATGCAATAAATACAATAACCTTCTTACAAACAGAGATCAAATTGAAAGGATAACAACGTGCTTACAATCAATCATTAACATAGAGTTCTCAAGAAATCTTGGAGATCTTCAAGCTAGTCAAAATTCAAAGAGTGTCAAAGGCATTTAGCAGATGAAACCATTGTTGTACAACACTCCGACAATCAACATCAAGATACAAACAAGCATATTAATCCGCTTCCAATCAAAACATGAGGTTTTCATCCAATACTAAGAGATTATCAGGCACACAAAGAAATGTTATCACCTGCATACAAAGTGAAACAGT